CATCTAAGTAGAATTCCTTTACCAAACTGTTATAATTTCTGTAGACTTGCAGCAAGTCTGTGTTGACCAAAATGTCGAAAACTATAACTGAAATTTTTGCCCAAAGTTTGCAGCAATGATTGCCACAAGTTAGGAGCAATGTTTGTCGCAAGCTAGCAGCAAGGTTTTCATATTTGGAAAATCCATTGTTTACAGCAGTCTTACAGCAAACCTCACTTTCATGGTAAAATGTGTGCTGTAAGCTTGCCGTATACTTGCCGCAATTACAAAAGCTTTATATGGGTTGTCATGATTTTTCTAGTTTCGTTGCTGCAAGTTTGAAGCAATGTCGAGGCAAGTTTGTAGCAATGTTTGCAGAAGACTTGCAGCAAATGTTTGCGGAAAGGTACTATTTCTGGTAACCTTTATACAGGAATAAAAGCCAGTCAAACACAATCACGTGACTTCTGCAGTCCAGTGCAGATATATTTTTTTCTTTCTCCGAGTTATGAGGCTCATACTGCAGGAGCTTATACTCGGTTTTTGTCGTAGTAAGCGGATGAGAGTCCTTGACTGCATTTGCCTCCCCCTGGAAAAACAGAAAATTCTATCGCAGATTAACACCTAGCGTAAACCGGTACCCATTCAGTTGGGTGGAGAGACAGTGCAGGTAAGATGCCTCGTCTTAAAACACGACACACAGCATCAGGTGCTCTAAGCGGGGCTTGAACCAGCGAACTTTCGGTTATTGGCAGAACATCTGTGTCTTCTGAGTCATGTGCCTGTGAACATAAACAGTTTTTAATTAATTCAAATAGTTTCGGGTAACATAATTATGAAAATGATTAGTTTATGTATTAACTTTTGTATCTATGTGCAGTACATAATTATATTTACTTATTTAAACCAGATGTAAGTTAATACATAATCTAATTATTTTTTCATACGTTTTAAGATACTTTTTTAAATTAATTAAAAAGGGGTATCAATGTACAGTCTTGGTGTTAATTAAAAATAATTTGAGATATTAACCACGGAATAGATAGAAAAAAGGATTGACTGTTATTTGTGCATAATACCTACGTATATATGGTGCAAATCTTACAATTGAACAGAAATTAAGATCGTTTTCTTTCAAATTCATAGCGGCTATGTAGCATATGACGATGATATTAACCTAAGTATAAAGAATATTGGGACACGACAGAAATTTCCAGTATTAATAATATAATAATAAATAAATTCATATTTCAGATTTTATGAGATGAAAAACTATATGTTAACTTGCTGTATTTACCAGATTCATAAGTAAGCATACAGATTTACATAAGTAAAATTTAGGCCCCCCCCCTTTTTTATTTTTTATTTTTTATTTTTTTTTTATTTTTATTTTTTTTTTTTTTTGTATACTGCATTTACAGCTAAGTATTTTAAATAACAAATAATAAATACATAGCATAAAAAAATCTAATATAACCTTTATCGATATAGTTATTACAATCCGCAGTTAACAGATACGCTGCATAAAGGGAGGTAACTCTGTCGTGAATTACACATAATCAATAATCCATTTCAATATTACACTTTAAAAATAAAATAGTTAGACAATAAATCTAAAACTGATCCATAAAATACTTTAATGTCTACACAGACTTGTCTATTTCATAAAATATATAAAAACAAAAATATCATACCAATCTATTGGATAGAGCCTATCCGATTCATTATAGTGTCTATATGGCTCACAATATGTCCAAAGCATAAAACTACAAATTATCATTAGTTTTCATAAGTAAAATCATCATAAAAATATTTAAAAATTTAGTTTAATAATATATTTCTAACGCCAGGTAAAGATCTCTAAATTCAATTGCAAATAAATTTTATTAAACTTTTCCCATCACATCTATATAGGTCTTTTTCCTTTGGAATTGTGGTAGTTTCAGTAAGTTTGTGATGCATTGCTTTCTTATATAGTTTTGAACTTTCTCATCACATCAGTGGCGGGTTCCCCCGAACCTCCCTAATGTACCGTCCCTCTTTGGCCCTCACCCCCGCCCATATGAACTTCTGGGTCTGGCACTGCACATTAAACTCCTATGAGGTAGTCTGTGGTGCAAGGTCTCCTACATGTACTAACTTGGGCTAGTGGATTAACCCTTAATTATTAGCTCGATTGGTAGAGCACGGTTGACAATTTGACACTTAGCCTGTATTGTCATCCTAAAGGTCAACAGTTGTCACATAAATGGTAAACACTTATCCCTAAAAATAAAGCTCGACAGGTCGACAACAAATTGCTAAATCTTACCCATCACAACTAAGGTCGACAGGTCGAAAGTTGACACCCTATTCATGCTATTGGGATACTATTTTCACTTTTAAAAACAAAGGTCGACAAGCCAACAACTTTATAGCTCAAAAGAGAAGTTGACAGGTCGAAAGTTGACTACCTTTCGGTATTTATTTTACCCTTATAGCATCCTCTCGAATTAATAAGCTTTGGTTTGTGCGAAAAAACACAAAACATTAGGGTTAGTCTTGTAAAACCCTCGATTGATCGATCCCACCAGAGATTAGAGCAAGTCCTCGAACACACCTGAGAGATTAGGGTTAATTCTCGACCCCCCCCCCCCCGAGAGTTCAGGGTTAGTCCTCGAACCCATCGGAAAGATAAGGGTTAGTCCTAAAAACCTACCTGAGAGATTAGGGTCAGTGCTCATACCAACTGGAGACCTGTCAACCTACATATCGACCTGTCAACCCATCGACTTGTCTACCTGTCGCCCTGTCAACTCGTCTACCTGTCGACCTATCAACTTGTCAACCCGTCGACCTTTCTTCTTGAATACATGTAGACCTGTCAAGCAAACAATCTGTCAACCTGTCGACTCGTCTATCTGTCAACCCGTCGACCTGTCAAGCAAACATTCTGTCAAGCCATCGACTTGTCATCCTGTGGACCTGTCAAGCTGTCCACCTTTCTGTGTCCACAATTTTACCTAAATGTTCTTACGCTACATAGAATTTCTCCAATTTTCCTCATATTCTTTAGCAATTCAATGCAATTTAATTTTTCAGCACTTTAGCGTATGAAAATATTTACCGGTACTACTTATCCATATATCCTAGTTGAGCACTAGACCGGCATATGCCAGAGGGTTCGGGTTCAAATTCAAGTTGAGAAGAAATATATTTCTCTTGCATTTTGCGCCCACGTCTGAACCCTGGTATTCCCCGTCGAGTGACGTGTTTGCCCCCAGAAATTCACATCACAGTTGATTGCACTCCCTTTAGAAATGAGAACACCCCATTCTCTAAAGAGGATAAATAAATAAAAATAGATAAATAAATAAATTATAAATAAATAATTGAAAAATTCAATTCGTGTATTATTTTGTATTTGTACATAAAAATACAAAATTTTTCTTATTATTATTCCGTACCATAAATTACTGTATTTGTCTTTAATTATGTTTCATTTAAAAATGAATTTCATAGAGCTCTGATTTTTTGTTTGTTATAAAACATGATTAAATAAACTGTTGGGGGGGGGGGGGGAGGGAGCCAGTCAATGCGCCCCCTAACAAAACCGTCCCGGCCAAAGCGCCGCATGATTTTGGTCAAAGAGCCCCGTGATTTTGGTCATAGCGCCCCCTGATTTTTGGTCAAAGCGCCCCCTACTATAATTGTACAGGAAATTGATGTAAAAATACCGTCCCCAAGTATTGGTCAAAGATCCCCCTGATTTTGGTCAAAGCGCCCCCTTGATTTTTGTCAAAGCGGCCTTAATATAATTTTACAGGAAATTGTTGTAAAAATACCGTACCGTCCCCAAGTATTGGTCAAAGCGCCCCCTGATTTTGTTCAAGGTGCCCTACAACCTATTTTTAAGGGGAAAAGACGAAATATTTTTTCATACGAAACCTTTTTCTTCATTATTTATTCATCAATAATTTATTCATTACTTATATCAATAATATTTTCATTATTTATTTATCAATAGTATATTCAAATATCACTCTCGTATTTTATATTGTTTTTCTTATTTTCTTTATGTTCAGACACAAATTTAATTAAAATGTAGTAATTAGAAATTGAAGTATATTTATTTGAGCAAGTACTGCATGATGATTCAATTTTTACAATGTACTCTTGTATGAATTAAAGTTTGCAATCAATTTTTTTTTTATATAGTAAATTGTTATTTACTGGTAAATAAATTCAGGCAAATTGAAGTACAACGAAATTCCCATATTTTTCGTCAAAGTGTGAAAATTTATTTAATTGAGCAACTACTATGATTCAAAGCTCTTGTTTTTAACATTGTACAATTATTTGTTGCTCACAATGTCCATGATATCTGTAATTTAGAGAAAAATATGAGAGTTCTCTCATATGGTAATTCTCCAAGAAATCATTATTATTACACTGTTTTTCATATGGGGGGGGGGGGGAGGGAGGGCATAGCTTGGTGACGATTTCGAAACGGAATTTTTCTATAAAATTATTTTAGGGGGCACTTTGAACTAAATTAGGGGGCGCTTTGGCCAATATTTGGGGACAGTTTTGTAACATCATTTTACTGTAAAATTTCTTAGGGGCACTTTGACCAAAATCAGCTGGTGGCGCTTTGTCCAATATTTGGGGGCGGTTTGGTAACATCATTTTCCTGTAATTTCTTTAGGGGGCGCTAAATTGACCAAAATCAGGGGGAGCTTTGACCAAAATCAGGGGGCTCTATGACCAGAATCATGGGGCGCTTTGACTGGGAAGGTTTTGTTAGGGGGCGCTTTGACTGGAAATTAATCATTAGTTTGTTTTAGACAATTATTAAAACAATAAAAATTAGATTCAGTGTACAAATCAAATAGAATCCATGAATGTTTCAAATAAAAGAACACGTGAGTGTAACATTTGTTACCAATATCTGGTAGTGCATAATAATCGTGGTGCCGAAATGTCGTGGTGTCGAAATGTCCAGAATCCGCTTTCAAACAAGACGACCATGACAGTGACGCTTTTTTACGGCAGACATTCACTGAAATTACAATGGCTTTTATTCTATCACTAGTCTACAGGTAATTTCTTTCTGTAATCAGTTTAAAGTACAGGTATTTTTTTTGTAAAAGTAAATAGGCCTATAACATATTTTTAGGAATATTCAATAGGTAAACTAAAATTAGGAATCTTGGAGTCAGAATTTCCTCTAACAGTCTAAAGAAAACAGTTCTTCGTTCAGCTATTGTTTTAATAAGTATGGAGGCATATTTCTGCCCCCCCCCCACCCCCCACCCCTACATGCAAGGTAAATTATGTTAACAAGCAAGAAAAGAGTAACAACATTCAGGATAGTTATGTCTACATGTTACATGCATAAAAATTACGTTGACATGCAAGTTATCAATCTTTTAAGAGAATCTAATTTCAATGTTGGTAAACATACATTATACTTACAAAGTGAAACGCCGGTATACGACATCATACAAGCAACGTGCAATGTTAACATGCGACTTATTCATATCTCAACATGCATGATAATTATGTTAACATGCTAGATAATTAAGTAGAAATGCAACTTATTTATGTAAGCATGCAACATAATTATGTAGACATGCGACTTATTTTTGTCAATTTAAACATGCAAGTTTAATTATGTTAACATGCAAGTTATTTATGTAAGATAATAAGTTGCAAGTCAACATAACATATGATTTTCACATGTTGACTTAATTAACTCGCATGTTATCATAATTATCTTGCATGTTGACATAAATAAGTCGCATGTCAATATACTCCTGTTGTATCTTGCTTGTATGATGCGGTAGTAAGTAAGTTTACCAATACTAAAATTAGATTCTCCAAAGAGATTGGTAACTTGCATGTCAACAAAATTATTTTCCATGCTGACATAAATAAGTCATATGTCTTATGACATGATAACATATTTTATCTTGCATGTGGGATGCAGAAAAATGCCACCATAAATAAGCTTTCAAGTTTCCCCCAAATTTATGTTTTATTAATTAAAATTTTGGTGTATGGTACTAATTTGTAACGAGTCGAGATAAGACGCTGTGAGGGTTCACTTGTTTAGTTACATTGTAATCTCCGAAATTGAAAATATTATAGACAATATGTTAATATGCAAAGCAAGTAATTAAAAACACAAACAAAAACAATAAAACACATGACATATACTAATGTAATATAATGTTCAGCATCATGTTTTAACGCTGACTAAAGGGCAATAACTCTTAATTTCACCTGAACAGTGAGCAAATCAGTGCTAACATCACATGTGATGCAAACACAACAAATCTGATGTCATTTCTCAGGGGTTGAAATATATGGTAGCCCGACGCCCGGGGCTAGTCATTTTAAGACTTGGGCCAGCTAATTTAAATGTTATGATAGTCCGTCGGACTAGCAGAACGGAAACAAAATTCTTGTCAGTTTAGTTTTGCTTTTCTGTGTGGACTGGTTTCTTTTGAATGAGAACTACATTGTAGTTTAATTTGTTTCTGTCACCACAGCATTTGAAACTTTAATTTAACTTATGTTTTTATTTAGAACAAATAAGAAAATATTCTAATGAAAAGTGGTTTCTGTAATAAATGATTCCTACATGATCTAGCTATAAACATCAAAATATAAATGCAAAGCCGAGGCCATATTGCCAGATATTAATTCCCAACTGCCAGAAATATATCCAGCAGTCACGTGCCATATGTCAAGTTTAAAAAAAGTGAAAGTGTGACATTCCAATCCAAGAGGAAAAAAGGATGATACCTGGTTACTAAATTTCATTTGAATTAACTAACTAGGTAATCATATCACCTCATTCGTGGTCACTACATGACTATGAAATATATGGAGATAACGAACAGTATTCAAGCTCAAAAGTCCATTAAACAATACAAAATAGGAGCAGAGCAAGCACGGACCTCTAAACATCAGAGGTGGGATCAGGTGCCATGGAGGAGTGAGCATCCCCTGCCCACCGGTCACACCCGCCGTGTGCTCCTTGTCATGATCGGGAAATAACAGAAAAATCCGTCAACAATTCAGTGTGTAAATAATGGCCTAACAATTAGTATGAAAAACGTCAGTCAGCATTTGACTCAATGATAAATTGTATTTGCTGACAAGGTCATTGTATCGACCATAGAACTTACAAAATGATGACTTTAAACGAGACAGCTGATATTCTTGTTTCATCAACTTGTTTGTCAGTAATTTACCTTGTTTTAGAAATTGTTCATACGTAGAGCATGCTCTTGCGTATCGAATCAACTGAGAGATATATACCCCGTATGCAGGTGATGAAGGTATATTGCTGCATAAGTAAGGGAAGTTGACGATTGAAAAGTTAAAGTCATCATGTTTATCATAAAGCTTGGTTGTTAGATTACCATTAATGTCTTTTTCATGAATTTACCTCACTAATGACATGATTCAGGCGTGTATGATCTATAAAAATGATCTTTTTTAGGCTTTTAGCTTACCTGAATGTAAGGTTCAAGTGAGCTTTTCTGATCAGAATTTGCTCTTTGTCTGTTCTCATCCATTGTAAACTTTTCACATTTTCATTTTCTTTTCCAAAGTGACTGGAGCAATATAAACTGAAAGTTGTCAAAGAGTATCCTTTGAAGGGAAATCAAGTATGTTCAAATGAAGGACTGCACCCTCTTCTGATGGGAGATAATTAAAAAATAATGAAAATTGGATGAGTTCATTTAATTTTTTTTTCTCAAGTACCACTGGGCCAGAAAAGATGAGATTTTTGTGAAAGCTTCATGACAATATTCATTTTTTTTTAAATCATGACTCCAAGGGGTAGGATGTGGCCACAATGGGTAATCTAAGTTTTGCATATGGTATTTAGGGAACATCTTTTTAAGTCTTCTAAAAAACAGCATAGTCATGATTAGTCATGTTTATATGGAGGCATACTCAGGTAATCATGGGGGGGGGGGGGGGAGTAGGAGTAGGACCACAAAATATTATCTTGATTTTACAAAGGAATATATAGAAATTTACTGCATGTACATATTGAAGGGCCTTCTCAGAAAATGTCAGATTTTTAACTGATAAAAACACCCTTTTAGAAAACCATCTCCATCTACAATGCATTTTAAAACTGGCGTATATCCATACATTCTCAAAATAAATGCAACAGCAAACTACACTGTACATTAATGTATTACAAAGACACAAACGATGCGTTACAGACATATTGAGAAATCAGATAAGTATGTCATTTCAAGAATAAATTAAATTTATAATGTCATTGCTTAATAGAAAATCCTGCATAGTTCAATATCATTGTTAGAATTATTTCAAGAAGGTGGCTCCTATTCACAGTTGATAAAATCAGATAATTGGCACTCATAGGGACAGGGGCTTTCAATAGGGAGAATACAGTATATTATACATGTATATTGAAGACATTTAAGTAAGGAGGAATGATCTTAAAAAGAACTGTCAAATGAAGATCAAGACTTAATTAACATAAGCAAAATGGTCTCTGTTTTGTTCTTGTTGTTTTTGTTATCATGAATTTGTTGTTTTTCTAAGTTCACTGCATATGATACATGTATATTAAATCAGATCTACATTTGAAGCTTCAGTTTCTATTGCAACATGTGTAATGTATGTAAATTATATGTTAAATATTTACAGATTGCAATCCTGAACACAGGGACCATCTACATCAAGGACAGCATTTGATCAGCATTCAGTGGTTATTGCACAAGAAACACCAATAATACATGTGTATAGTGGAAACACACTAAACTCAAAGAGGTATTGATACAGTTATAAAAAGCTATCAGAATGGCTGGTTCAGATTTTTTTGCTGCATGATTATCAGTTTAAAATATATTCTTGACACCGGTTCAAAGCATTCATTCCCATTCATAAACAGAAATCTGCTGTCTCTGTTTTACAGATTTTAGTCCTCTCTGTCAGTGAAGAAATCAGAATGGAAGATGTGACTGAGTTTTCATCAGAAATCCAAATTGCAAAGGCTGAAAATAGACAAGAAAGAAATAAGCCAGTTTTGAAGCAAACATCAACACCATTGCTCCGTAAATCAATTATAGTGAAAGATGTTAGCAGATGTTTCAACATTTACTGTATGACATCAGGTCAAGTCTGGGTGAGTGATAGGAGTCAACTTGTCTTGTCTGACACAACAGGCTCCTCTCTCTATAGACTGACCTATATTAGACCGTGTAGTAATGACGTATACACAGTGTCCATTGCAGGAGAACTTATTTATATAGACCGGTGTAACAACATTTACAAACTGTCTGTAGACAATAAAACGCGTTCATTACTCATTAAGAAAACTGACCCTTGGGATCCATTTTCAGTCTATTGCTGTCCCTCCACTGGAGATTTGCTGGTTGGACTGGAGAGGTATGACTTGGATGAAGGGTACATAGAAGACAAAGTAATGCGCTATAACAGCTTTGGACAGGAGATCCACGGCATTCAAAATAACAACAGAGGTCAAAAGTTATTCAGTGATCTAATTTCTATCAGAGAGAACCATAATGGAGATGTTATTTTGTGTAACTCCATAGATTCACGACACGGGTCAGTAGTGGTTACAGATCATGAGGGAAGACATCGCTTCTCCTACACAGGACCACCCTCAGGGTCTCCACTAAATCCCTGGGGAATCTGTACAGATGCACTGTCGCACATCCTTGTGTGTGAATGTAACACAGGCACTGTACAGATGATTGACAAAGACGGTCACTTTCTGTCAGTTTCACTGACAAAACAACATGGGATAAAGAAACCGTGGTGTTTGAGTTATGATGATAAAACTCAGTGTCTCTGGGTCGGATGTCAGGATAGCAATGTAGTGACTGTATATAAATATTTAACTACAGACTGAATGTTTCTGACTAGTAAAAATCATGATTTTAACTGTACTTAAATGTACATATGAAAGTATTTAACAGAATAACAATTTCCTAGACTTTGCATTTAAGCATTTTTAATTTTTTTTTTGTAATGGAACAGTGGCTTTTCATAGGATTTCAATTGTTTTTGATATCTATTAAATAAATATTGATCAGTATGATTATGCATAATCATTAGAAAATATTTTTTATCCCAATTTTTAAATGCAAATCTTTTATTTCCAATTTCCATGACAAGTTATATTAAACTATTTAGCAACAATACTAGAAATTAAACCTGAAACCGAAATCTTTTTTTTAAATTTTCAAAAATATTACTTTACCCTGTTCTCTCAAATGAACGCCTCATCTATCATCATACATGCATACTAGTTGTTACTTGTATCCTGTAACCTAATAGATTGTAAATATCGAGGGAATGAACTTGATGGATATTCCTTTATAATAGTGGTTTATCTTTATTGAAGTTTCTGAAGTGAATTGAAATCGTTAAACCCCGATATTACACGCAGTAACGAATCTCATCGTAAAAAAAATTTCCACTGCAAAATCCTGGATCCACCACCCATGCATTCAGCTTAATAAAGCATCACTGTTAAGGCACCTCGATATGATTATTGTATGAATTTATGTACGAGTCATGTATTGTCATTAGATGGATATTTGAACTTTATAGAAAAGAACAATTTACGCGATGTTGTATTACATGTAATTGATCTCCGACCTAATTGATCAAAGTTACTTATTTTAACATTCAAATAAGCTGGTTATTGAACATTGGAAGATACATGTAGTTAATTATTCTGTGATCTGTCATTGCTGAGTAAATTGAGCTTTTGTGATGTATAATTGGACGGTACTGATATACTAGCATTCCTTTTCAAATATTTTAAACATATCTTATTGATGTTTATGTTGCGGACCTTCCACACCAATGACAGAGACTTTCCCCTCCCCTGACTTAAACTTGATTTTCAGAAAGTCTATATATTACAAAACAGCATCTGATACATCTCTCTCTCTCTCTCTCTCTCTCTCTCTCTGTTTTGTACTGTGTAGGACCGATACTTTACCTCCATCAGAAAATATCCTTCCTTTGAATTAATTACAGAGAGATATGTATAAAAGTTATTAAAATCGCTATTTTAGTTCACACAGGCGCTGAAATTAATTTCATGTCATAAACAATTTATATGACAAGAAGGTATTGTTCTGTATGACTCTTTCCGTTATTTGCATAGGAGAAAAGCTCCGGGCTCTTTACAATGACAGATTCAGATATAAAATACGAGCACCTGTCTACTATTCCTTCATTTTTTTATCGTCTTAAGAAAAAAAATCAAAAGTATATTTTTCAGAAAGTAAAATATTGAAAAAGAACAAGCATTCTGAGAGTATTGCATTAGCAATACTAGTCCCCTACCGGCAAGACTAGTGTAATCTGGTTCCCATTAAAAATTGAAAATACCATAATTCCGTCAGAAATCATTGAAGCGAAACAAAATGCAAACTTGATCTAAATGTATTCAAGGTAAAGTCACATACCAAAAATCAGCTCAATATCTGCAAGCGTTTAGAAGAAAATCGCGGTAAACCCTTAAAAATTGAAAAGGTCGTAATTCCGTCAAAAATCAATGAAGCGGAACAAAATGCAAACTTGATCTGTAACTCATCAAGATACACTTACATACCAAAAACCAGCTCAATATCTGCAAGCGTTTAGGAAAAAAGTGCGGAAAACCAAGTGGGACAGACAGACAGACGGACGGATAGACTCAGAGGAAACCTATTGTCCACTCCGGTTTCACCGGTAGGGGACTAATAACGATCAATCTCATAAATGAAATATGGAGATAACAAACAATAATCAAGCTCAAAAGTCCATTCAAACAATACAAATCAGAAGGAGAGCAAACACACACCTCTGAAAACATCAAAGTTGGGATCAGGTGCTATGGAGGAGTGAGCATTGCCTGCTGACCAGTCACACCCGCTGTGTGCTCCTTGTCATGATCGGGAAATAACGTATTCATGTAAGAAAAACGAATCATGAACAGGGCAAAAATACGGACCCCTGGAAATACCAGAGGTGGGATCAGGTGCCCAGGAGGAATAAGCATTCCCTTCATGTGTATTCTTGATATTCAACGGTCGATTAAATTATCATATTTATGGTATAAATGTAAAATGTTTGTAACTCAAAAATATTTTATTACTAATATTTAGGACAGGTTCTTACAGCATTACAGGCATTTCTAAAATCGTGTTTGGAAATTGTGAATTAATTCTGATGCACAAGATTCCATTATTTCTATTTCTATACTCTGCAGGGCCTCTTTAGGCCGCAGTATTTTTTTCATTGACACACTCATGATTATCTATCATTCAGTACTAGAAAAAATTATTTTATACTGCAAAAGAAAAAAAATCATGATCCATGAAAAGTCTGATCTCTGAGAATGAAAGCAAAAACCCATTCTTATCTAAACTAATGTTTGAAGATAGAGTATCCACGCATCTAAACTTTACTGTGTTATAAATTAAGATATTTTAAAATTATTTGAGGTTCATTTCATTTCTTTAATATTAAATTACGTAATATTTTCCTAATAAAGTATGTAATAGAGTTTTCGAATGACTTAAGAGTTTGAAATAAGGTTTCAATTCTAATGACATCGGTTGTTGAGGGAAAGATCTTTTAATTTATATTAAAAACATGATTGAAAAAAAAAGTTTTACAATCATTTCCCTTTCCTAAGGACAAACGGAAAAAATACCATAACTAAATTTTATTCACCTCATGTTTTTCCAGGTGAAACGGTTTTTTGAAAAGCGTAATCATGCATGTAGTATTTTCCTTGATTTAAGAAAAAACATTTTAACTTTCTATTAGAATGAAAATAACAGGTTAATTTCATCTTTAACATTTTATATACGAAATCAATAAATATTTACAAACACTAAAACAGCAACAAATTCAACAAGCATTCACACTCACTATGATTACGTCACGTTCAGTCTGACGTCAAAAGACCGAATCATCATCCGGTAATCTTCCAGCCATTTATTTGTAAACTCCACAAGTATATCACAAAATGTTTTCATGACTTTACGAGAAAAATAATGAATTAAAATTTTGAAAAGAACAGAGCAAAAAACAGAAATCTTATTTCTTAACCACTTTTTCTAATCTCGTATCGTTAGCTTCGGCTATCCATTTGTATAATGTGACGTCACAGTCCACACATAAAATCTCGAAAATTCGAAAAGAGAAACAAGACCACTTTCAAAAGATTGTCAATGAATAACAACGAAACCTAAAATTAAATCATGGAGTTCTGTTGTATTGAACAACGGTACCACTTGTAGGTTTGGGAGCTGCCTGTCTGATTTGTGGTATTCCAAACGAAGAAGATCTAAATCTAAAGAATTGCTGTGGCTGATACCTCTGCGCCTGGCGGAAGTTGACTTTAGGCTGTGGCGTTGTTTTTTGTTCAGTCCCCTGATGCTGTTTCTCTAGTAACATCTGTTGTTGTTGTTGCTGCTGTTGTTGTTGAGGGTTTTGTTTCTTTATTTGTTTTCTTTGAACGGGAGGATCAACAACTGCCATTTTAGCTGGCGCTTCATGAGGATTTGAATTTCCTGTCGATACAGGTTTTGGATACACGTTTTGCGAGCCGGGCATCTGCTGATTTGATCGATGATTGACCGCTTTGGGCTTTACTTGGGGATATGCGTTATTCCTAACACTGTGACGGGATTTTTCCATTTCCATTGGCAAGGGTCCACTCATTGCGGACTGTTGCGTTTTGGTATTTATGGCCTTCACTTCCGGCACTACGGACTGTGGTTGCTTCTCAACAGCAAGATCTCTTCTGTAGTATCCTGGTACTGGAGCCCCCTTTTCAGCGATAGCTTGATTCTGAATGGCGTCTTGATAGATGATCTTAGATTCTGCTGGTGTTGTATGAACAGACCATAGAACTTTGCTATTTCCGGCGTCTGGGGTTACCCCTGCCCTGTGGAGAACGTTTTGGTAGCTGCCAAGCCTATGTGCGCGCTGTTCTCTTCCTAGTACTTTTCCAAGATGCGAAAGTTTTGGACTCTCTGATGGGCGAAGGCGTTGTTGCGCCCTTTTTACAGTGATTGGATCAATTTTCGACGATGAAAGACCTCCTGATACAATCCCAAAACCCCTTCTTTGTCTTTGATACTGCAAAGGATTTGAATAAACTGTATTCGACTTCTTTGCAGGGCTTACTGCATCGCCAGGTGCGACAAATTCAGCTCGTTTAACAGAGTTCTGTAAACCTTGTTGCGGCTTTTCAATCGCATTTGCTGCAGCTACACCTGCTTTACGACCCCCTGTCATTAAAAATGAACTAAATGCATTAGATTTACTGCTGCCCATCTCAAAAGCTTTCTGGCTAAGCGAAGGTTTTTGAAGCATCTGAGGTTGGTAAGGCCCTTTGATTGGCTGAGGGTCTCTGACGATTGGTTTTGGAATACTTTGTGGAGCAGGTTGTGGTCCTCTGGGCTGCGGTTGTTGTGGGCCTCTTTGTGGCTTAGGTCCACTAACTACAGTGTTGGATCCAAGCATATTTTCTGGCTTTAGATTAGATACAGGATTAGGTTGTTCCATTGGTGTAGATGTTGGTGAGAGAACATTCTGTTTTGCTAAAATACTAGGTTTTCTAACATTGACCTGATTTGATGTTGGACCTGGTGTGACTGCCATTAGATTAACATTACCTGGTTGGTTAAACCTCTGCGAAAGTCCAGATTGTTGTCTTCTAACATACTGTGGATTCTGCTGAGGAGAAGGATTTTTCCAGCTACTCAACTGAGAGCCAGAAGTCTGTGGGTTCGACAAAGGACGTTGAGGAAATTGTTGTGGAATCTGCTGTGGAACGTTAGATGGTCTTTGTATATTTGAATATAGTGTTTGCATATTTCTAGAAAGTCTTGAGTTGGTCAACCTATTCTTGTTATTTTGAACATAATGTGCTTGATTTTGAGGATTTTCTGTTGTGGTTGACGTTGGCTGTCTCCTAATCAAAGCATCTAATGTCGTCATTTTCTCTGGAGGCCCTCTTACTCGTGGTTGCGAAATTCCAGTTTGGGGTTTATTTTGTACCATTCTTGATTGAAATGGTTGTGGAATGTTTCTTGGAGGATACTGTGGATATCGTTGAGGCAATTTACGAGTAAATGTTGGCCGGAACATTCCCTTTCCGTGTGCAGAGAAAAATTGCTGTCTAGCATTTATAACTGGTGGAGATCTTGTAGTAGTTGTTTCTGCAGCTAAAATTGCACCTTGCAAGTTACTTTTAGTCATTCCTCTTCCAATCGCTGCCAAACTGCCTTGTCGGAATTTTGGCGTTGCTGTTGGGTTTGGAGTTGTTGACATTGCTACGTTAGGGCCCCCCCTAACCAAAGCTGAATTAAAACCAGGAAAGGGTTGTGAGTTTTGCTGTCCTGTAGAAGGGAGATTACGTTGACCGATTAATTCCTGAGTTTTTGGAAGAGGACGTGGACTACCTAGGAATGGATTAATTAAACGTGAGGCACCAGTGGTTGGGGCATTAGTCGGAGCAGGAGTTGGAATTGGATTTTGTTGACCTAAAACCATTCTTTGTTGTGGTTGTTGACCATGAACAACACCTTGTTGAGGTGATTGATTTTGAGTTGTAGGGGAATGCATGTTTTGTTGACTTTGAAGAACTGTTTGCTGTGTGTATGGGTTCTGTGGTGGGTTGTTCTGCGTTGGACTTATACGACTTGATTGACTTGGAATGATTTCTATATGTGGAGAAGGTTCAGGACTGGGGTCAAAAACTTTGAGAGGTGCACCAACAACGTATAAAGGATTTTTATTGCCTTTAAACCCAGTATCATATTCCCCAATGTTCAGCATTTGATCAGTGCTCTTTGTACTGGAAAGTGACTCCGTTTTGTCCAAATGCCTGTTTAATTCTGCCTTTGTTTGAAGAACAAATAATGGTGAATTAATTCCTTTGATGTTTTTACCAGACACTAGTTTATTTGTCATGATTTTAGTGGGTTTCTTTTGGGTTTGACCCTGTACTGTATTCTGTGTTTGTGGAACAGTATTTTGAATCTGTTGTGATTGTTGTACTTGTGAGGGTGGAGGTGCATTCTGAACTTGTTGCTGTTGCTGAGAAATGTATGAAGGGGGTGCAGCATTTTGAGGTTGCTGGTTTTGTTGCTGTCCATGTCTAGGCGGCGCAACATTTTGGGTCTGCTGAGTTTGTTGCTGTTGAGCATAATTTGGGGGAATGGCACTCCTATTTATCTGGGATGGAGCATTTTGAACGGCAGGTTGTTGGATCTGATTGGGAACTGGTGCAGCTGGTGCTTGTGCAGTGTTCCACTTGTTAACGGATGAAGAAGCAACTGGGGGCGATGGGTTTACAGCTGGAGCAGGAGTAGAGATGGATCTTTGAGCTACAGGAGGACTTGGTGGTGAAGCCTTCGGTTTTTTTATTGATGGACTCCCACTTGGATCGTATACAGTAAGTCCACCAAAAAATTGTCTTGCAACTTTCGGGCTCCATCGCATCGCTTTTGGATCTGCATTCAAAGTAAAAGGCTTTTTATTATTCTTTACCCTGTATGGCGGATTCTCTGCCTGATGTCTTGTAATAGGTGCTGCAGATGGGTAGGGATTGGATTGTTGAACTCCTTGTGCTTGCCAATTCTGCCTCATCCACTGCTGTTGCTGTGAAGGCATTTCTGAAGGTGTTGGCTGTTGAACTCTAGTGTGTACCATTTCAGTATTAGTATTTCCTTGCGTTCGAAGTCCATTCACGTTCCGTTGTTGCTGCCAATGTTGTGGGGGATTTTGTTGAATTGCAGATACTTTTTGTTGCATTTGTTGAAACTGATTTCTTGGTTGTTGTTGATTTGGTTGAATATGTCTAGCTGGTTGGTTCATAGGCTGATTGTTTGAGCTTTGTTGTGGCATCGGCTGTCTTTTCTGCATCTGATTGTTCAAATTCATATTATGTTGTGGTTCTTTTTCTAGAATGCCCTGTGTTTGTGTTTTTGATGCCTGTGATTGTTTATTATTCCACTTCTGATTTTGTGACTGACCCTGTCTTTTGATTGATGCTTGAGTTGGAGCCACATTATTAAGCCAACCCTGCTGGCTAGATATGCGCTGAATATTTGCTTGTTTAGACTGTCTTGGTTGTGGATTAAACCACTGTGGATTAGGTTGAACCTTTATGGGAACTTCTGTTGGCGTTCTAATTGGCTGCTTCATGTTTTGTGGCTCTAGTTTTAATTGTGACTGCAATGGTTTTTTGTTAGGAACAAAAGACTGTTGTGTCTGCGTTGATTGGGCCCCTCCTTCCAATGCTGGTTTTTGCCATGTCTGTTGATTTGGAACATTATTTTTCCATGTTTGCTGGGGTTTAGGCACATAATTCGATTGCGCCATCCACTGAGCGTCCTTTGGAGAAGGAGTAGTGGGTTGTGCCTGTTTCTGAATATTTTTGGGGCCTATGCGTTGTCTTTGTACTTCTGGAGCATGTACAAAATCTAAATGAGGAATGTCCTTAAATCCAGCTGGTTGAATGATATTTCTTACAAATTTTGTATCAGAATTCATACCCCTAGCCGGGCGATCTATTGAAATTGGAGTGTCTCCTTTAAAGTTGCTGAGAGGGGGTTTCCCCGCAGACACAGAGGGTACAACATCATTAGTGGGATACAGTCCAGATGAAGAAGGAGTTGGAGGTCGTCTACCTTTATTGTAAGGGCTTGGATTTGAGGACCTCGGTATCAAGCTTTCTTGAGAGGATAGGAATCCGCCAGAATGTGTCTTTGCTACCATGTCGTTGAATGGTTTTTTGTGCGGGTTTTCTGAAGGCATGCTTGAAAGCCCACCAGATGGTTTATCAAACTGCGAACTGAATGCACCCCCGACAGCATCCATGGAAGGAGATGGTTTCGGGGGTTGTTGATATGTTTGCGAGAGTGAGTTTCTTGGACGTTGAATACGTTGGGAATTGTGATTGTTTGGGTTCCATCTTTGCATATTCCATTGATTATTGTAATTACTAGGTTGCTGATAGTGTTGTTGGCGAGCAAACTTTTGATGCGGTATCGCTTGGGTACGTTGGTTGAAGTGATTTTGATGTTGCTGTTGATTATTGTTGTACATAGGTTGATTAGGGTGCTGCTTGTGGGGATACTGACGTATGGGCTGGTTCGTAGGTCTTGCGCTGTTTTGAATTATGTTAGCTGCTTTGTGTTGTTTATGACGATGATTGTTGATCTGTTTATTTTGTTTTGACTGCTGTTGAGTCTGTTGTGTTGGCAATGGATTCCGCTGTGCTGCCTGTGTTGGTTTTGAGTCTACATTAACAAACGCGGGTGACGGTTCTACTTGGTTTTTCTTTGGTCTCTTGGGTCTTGCTTGCTGCGTGAGCTTAAAATTATGTTTGTTAGCCCTGCTAGACATTACTTCGGAATTATGACCATACAATGAAGGACCAGAGTTCTGTGGCTGACCAAACTGCCGATTTTGATTTCGATGAAGCGCCCTCTGATGTTGAAGTTGATAGAAATGTTGTTGTCTACCGTTCAAGTGTCTTGGAGGAGTTGGTTTCGGAGCAATTGATTCTACCTTTTTCAGCTCTGTTCTATAAATCTCTGCATCCTTCATCACTGTTGGTTTTTTGGCGGTTGCATGAGCGGCTGCAGCTTTTTTTGCCTGAACCCCGAGCCATTCCACTCTCTTACCAAGGTTTGTTTGATCATGTTGTTGGTTTTTCCACCCTTGGACCTGGCGCTTTTGTCGGATTTTTCCTGGGGTAATTTGTATATCTGCACAATTACGGATTGTTCTTCTTTCCACACATTTAGGACATTCTTCATTATCTACAAGAGACAAGGAATCATTTAATGAAATAATTATTGCACGAATTTACTTCATAAAAATAACTAACCTATTAATTTTAGAATTTAAATAGCTTCTTTTTTCGTATTTAACTAAAACCTTTTTTTTCATTTGGAAATACCGGTAATAAAAACAAAATTATGTACTTTCATTTTTTTATAATCTTGCATTATTTTTATGCTGCAAAAATGAGTGTAAGAGCTGTTTTTTTTTAAATTTATTTGTTTATTTTTTATTCTTTAGAATAAAAATAAGATTTCAAAACTTGTTTTTCGGCACCTGGATGTTATATGCATAATTTTATATAACATATAGTTTTATACGCTGCTAATTATGAAAGACGTGCACTTGGAGGAAGGGAAAAGCTTTTTTGTGTTTATCGTCAGGAGCCCTTTGGATGGACATAGTTCCTTGCATTTTAAAACTTGTTACATATTAAATTAATTACAATCTGTCTTCAAGCAACGTGTCGAGTCCGGCGCTCATATTACATTGGTGCATCTTAGGGAAAAAAGTTTTACTTAGTATTCTGTCGCAGTATTTTGATGAATGCGAATATAAAACGTAAAGCCGTATGGGTCTTACTTCTGTAATTAGAAGAGCACGATTCTAATTTCTGAAACATTATGCAAGATGAAGACCGAACAGTTGCATAAAAGTGACATCTGTAATGTCAAAACAGTCTCCATTCGGTAGAAGAGTCTACAAACTGGAGACATGTCATTTTATAAGAAATGAAATTACCTAGATATTAAGTTAGTACTGGTAATTATCATGTGATGATTATACAACATAACGTCAGTATTTTACCAATTCACAAAATATTGTGTTCATTTGTTTATGCGTCAAGGTTCTCTATCTATTGGCCCAATATAAATTCTTTGCATTTGTAGTATTATGTGCCATTAAATCTTATTATCTCGGACAAAACAAACAGAACAAGAACAAATAAATAAAACAAAAAATAAATAAAACAAAAAAGAAAAACAAAATGGAAAAAAACCCAGTTTTCGATGTAAGAATGTTGAAAGTTGAATTTAAAATGAAACTTTTTTTGACGGCGCAGCAATTCTAATTTAATATAAATAAGTTAAAAAATAGTTTTTATTACTCTTTTGATTATAAGACGAGGGATTAAATTATTTTTAGTGTAATAATATAGTTCCTCTTAAAAACAAATAAGGATATATACGCAAAAATCGTAAAGACCAAAAAAAAAAAAATAAATAAATAAATAAAAAAAAAAATAAAATAAAATAATAATTTCATCATGATTAATATTCTGCAAACGTTTAAAAGCATGTTGTATTTCTCTATATTTAAATTTGAACATTTAAAAAATTCTCTCCACAAGATAACAAAACATACATATCTGTCAAGTTATATACAGTACAAGATTTCTTTAACTAATTAAATTTACTTTTTCTGTCTGTTTTAATTGGATTTAAACACGCCTCGAAAATTCTAGCATGCTGTTTTTATCCCTTTATAGCATTTCTGTATAATATAATATGTCACATTAACATGCGACTCGAGAGCCGAATGCCAGATTTGTTGGAATATGTATATTTTTTAAACGAATCTGACTGGAGACTGGTAATATATTTATCTGAAAACTATTTTATTGGTCGAGTATAACGACACAATTTTAAAACAATATAAAATTTGAATCAAACTAATTAAAAATCTCATGGTACATGTACATGTAGCATGCGCGGATCTAGTGGTGGGGGTCGGGGGATCCCCCCTTCTGGAAATTGCAGTTATTAAATATCTATTCCATAAGCAAATAAAAATGACTTTGGACCCCCCTCCCCAAGAAAACGTGGACCCACCCCACCACGAAATAGGTTATTCTACCCTACCCCGTCCGGGGGGAAAATTACTGGATCTGCGCCTGTTTAGTAATGAAAAGAAAAAGTAGTTCATATATATTCTACAAAAAAACGATAATACGATCATAATATCATTAAGATAGAAACCTCAAAACACGATATCTTAGTGAAAAGGGGGGAAAGGTCGGGTCCTAATTTTAAGATACTTGTCATTTCTATTTATAAAAAAAATATATGGAAAGATACGACTTGTTTCCATATATATCTGATTAAGGTCCTCTAAACATATACCTATGTATTAAAAAAGGTGTACATGAGTAGGTTACCTACCTTGTACAAACGTCCACTGTAAAACACAGTGCCGACAGACAAGCCCAGCCGGAAGTTGAACATGAACATCAACGAAAGTGTCTTGAGATTTCACCCGATGACTTTTCTTTCTGTTGTCCGCAAACAGAAGAACATGCTTGTCGAAACAGCTCTGGTGTAGGTCTTTACCCTTTTCTGTGAGGTCACATAGCTTAAATTTGATTTCTCCTCCAATTTTTTCTGGGGTTTCAATCGTAAACAGAACAGTACTTCCGGTTCTGTATATTCCTCCCACAGTTCCCTGTGCGTATTTGCCGCCATCTTCGTGGAGACGTAATCCATCCCAGGGATCACCGCAGACACCACATTTCCCGCCATTTACATTCCATTGCCTCTGTAATAAAATTTCCATGCATATTATTATCATTGTTTGGTCTGCTTGATTTTAAAATATCTTAATTTAATTTTATCTGGAGTGAGAGGCTTTGAAGTTTCAAGAGCAATGAGACTTTAATAGTTAAATTGTTTTTGGTAATAGCTATCTCATTTTTAAAAACGATTACCTACGTGGAATACTTTATATTTTAATTCGTCTCTGCAATTCCTCTTAAAGCATTACGTCCCCTGCCTTCTGACACATGAAATTTAATTAAACATATTCTTGACGGTAGGAAAAGAAGTTATAAATTGCACTAACATTTGAATAATAATGATAAATTTAGTTCGCCTAAATTTTGTCAAATTCTTTAAAATTGTCAACTTTTCTCCTACAATTATGATGTGGGATTTTGTGATCAGCGAAACATTGCTACAAACTAATATTTTGGGTTGGGCGATGACAGTTTATTTTCCCCCAGAACTATCGAGATCCTACTTAATCCAATCCACATAATTCTTTTTTTTCTTCCAGAATTGATTATTGTGATTTGTTAAAATGTTAGATATGAGGAGTGCTCGTAAATTTCTATAATTAAGGTAAAATCAATCAACAGGTGTCAAAATGATAACATTTCTACATATAATGAATAAAATACAATTCTCTTTCTGCACGCATCTGACACTTACAGAACATGTTATTAAGTTTTACAGACCACAGACCATCGTTAGCATTCAGTGCATGCCTAGTAATGTAGACATATAATTCAAAGAAAATATTCAGGATTGATAATTGAGTTCAAAGTACTTTCAGCTGACACACTTTTGTATTTTATTTATAGATATAAAGATGGACGAACAAGGAGTGCGAAATGCCTGTTTCGTCAAATGCATAAAAATCAAAATCAATTTTTAAACAAACATTTTTTCCACGCTTTGTTGGCCTGTCTTCTTTTTTATATACCCATACTTGAAAAGCATTTTAACATAAATAAAATATTCTCTACCCTTCCTTCCCGAGAGAGAGAGAGAGCAGATGCTCCATCAGAAAAGAACTCGTAATTTTATTTCTTTTTTTAAATTTGTAATATCGTGAGACAAAATGTATCCGTTAAGAGTCGAATCAGAGTTTTCTTCTGTTGGGCGGATAAAAGTTTATCTTCTTTACTCCATAAGTCTGTAAGATAATTAATTGTACAAGGCCCTTTAACGATGTATTTCCTCTTGACATAAATCATAAATTTACACTAGTATTTGTTAAGGTGTTTTCTTTTTAAAACGCCTACAAAAAAGGGGAATTGCATTGTGAAGAGATTGTTTTTCTTTTTTTTTTACTCTTTTTTTTTTTACTTTTTTTTTTCAAATGACGTCCGGCACTAACTCGACTCGTGTTTTTTTTTTTTTTTTTGGAGGGGGGTTGGGGGGTTGGGTTGACTGTCTTTTTTTTAAACATTTCTGATGAATATGACATTTATTCGATGCAAAATGAATTCAGTAGCTGGTTTGATTTTTGATTAATTGTTTTCTCATACAATTAATTTAACCACAAGTGACCGTATGATTCCACTGATGTGGTTATGTTGATTTATATAAAGATCAGTAAATGTAAAAGAAAACTATTCATGAAATACTCTTTAGATAATGATTTGTGGCAAAGGGCTGTCCTTATATAAATTGTAAATGCTTTTGTAGCGATGGTATGTTTCGCAACACGTACAGTTGGTTTTCGTTGGCAATTTAAAAACAGCACGCCGAGATCAAATTATGTTAAAAAATATATGAGTCGTTAAATTAATACAAAATAATTAAAACACTTCGTATCACGTCCTAAACTTTCTTAATTGCATTTACTGGAATTAATTACCAGGTTAATGTGACATCAGCATATTAATGACAATGAAGTATTTCAAAATATAATTTACTTCGAAATCTGAATTTCTTTCAAATATAAATGATGATAAAGGAGCTGATTATCTGGGATTGAATTTTATACCCCTCTAATTTTTGTTATTTTAACTGATTAACCACAGTTAATGACATTTATAGAACTTATCTTTGTCACCTGTCTGTAAATAAACAAAATTCGATTAATCATCGATATTCTATTTTTCAAATTTATACAAGTTTGTACATTCTTTATTATTTCTGTTACACAAACGTAACTAAAATGGTGTTTAACCATGAAATTGGAAAAAAAAAAAAATAAAATAAAATAAAAAAAAACTTTATATCATATAAGTTTCTACTATCAAACATTTTTTTTTTTATGAGAGACCTCCTTCGGTGTAGATTTATTTTCTGGTAACTACCTGATATGTATATGTATTTCTATACAATTCCGATTTTTCAGATTTCTTCACTCATATGATATAGATTAATTCTCACTTAACCTCACATATTTATACCAGATATAACTGCGATTCGCTGCTACCAAAAAGACTGTCGAATACTGTGTTTGATTCTGTCAAGCAGTTTCCTGTAGCGAAATTGTAAACTTACGTTAATTCCTCCACAATCCAAAACTGAGCCCCCATTGTCCAATAGTGATGAGTAAGTCCAGAGGGCATTCCGGGGTGTTGGATCGAAGAGGCGTGTCGAATGTATCCGTAAAGCAAGACAGGTCCATATCAAGAATACCACAAAACGAAACATTGTAAAAGTTAATTGTGATATTGTTCCAGACACTTGTAATATATCCAACAGTTGAGTAAATAAATTCTAAAGATTAACTTCCTCTAATGTTATAAATATGTATATAATTCTTATAATATTGATTTATGGTGTGATCATAATTCCTTCTTTAAAACAGAAGAAAATATGTTTGATCGATGGAATTAAGTTGTAACTTCTTCCATGTTTCACAAAACAAGAATAGATGAAATTTCTTGCAATATACTGGAGCCCTGACCGACTACACCCAACTATATTTCACGAAACTGAAAATAATAAGTGTGTACTTCGGAGATGAGACTTCGAAACAACCTCCTGTCTAATGTGAACGAAATAATGAAGTCGGGAAGCCTCGCGCGGCAATTAGTGGTTAATTAATATGCATAAAAAGGTAACGTCAGTGTTCCTTATATGCAAAAAGAAATTTACAGTGTCATAAGTGTCACGTATAGAAATTTAAATCGGGTTTGGAATTAAAGAAACCCCTAGGCAAGAATGAAAATGTATAAATGTTCAAAACATGTCTATCATATATTTCTGTACAAGAGAACAATTTTGTTGTTCCAGCATCCCATAAAATTTTTCAATAAAATCTTCTAAAATATCTTATAGAAACGAAACAAATCGTTCATAGAGCTTTTTACTTTGTGGAGATGAAATCATTTTCTTTTTTAAATGGCACGACCCATTTAGAGCCTCAATTCATTTTTTCCCCGGAAATCTGTGGTACCTTTACCTGCAACAGGTAGGGTGAAGGCAATTAATTATACCTGTGTCTGCAAGACGGGCCAAGCTCCTCGACAATCTTTAGGACGAGGAAACAAGTTAGCACACATATATCAACCATAAGTCTTAAACGACAACTAACAAAATATATATGTAACGCGTGTGACAGATCAGAATCCATTTTTGATGTTATATAAATATTGATTACGTATTGTTTGACAGTAATTAAAATATTTTGGATGGAAGTAATATTTCTTTACTTTTTTTTTATTGTGGTGTGTGGTAATAATTTGGCATTAAATTACATGTATGTATAACTGTAAGACTCTAATCCTTATCGTAAATGTTATATTTTTTTCCCTGTATTTTGTCAACGAAATTAATTTCAAGTTCTTTGATCCTTAGAGTGAAGTTAAGGAAAGCGAAATATATAAAGATGGCACCTGATACATTTTATATTTATAGGGACTGCATGGCCCGTGCTTATTTCTAACATCTTGAACTCTCCAATTCCATTTAAGGAAAGCTAAGAAAAAATACTTCACTTTTTTACTTTTACTATGAAATCCAAGATGATAACCTGCGTCGATACTTTGCATGAAAATTAATATTTACATTATTGAGTGTTATTTTCATCATCTTTTGGAATGAGGTGAATGTGTACACCTACGTTTTCTTCTGACTTTATCATAACTCATTTAACAAAATTAATTATTACAATGATATTCATACACCTCGCAAAATGTTCTGGAAATCTAGATTCTAAGTACCTTTAGGGCAGTTAAACCTTTATAATCTTGAAGCAACTTCACCTGCATATGGTACAATGTATTTATGTCTCCCAACTAATTCTGGGTATTATCAGGATACTGAAAAATAAGTTCACGTTACAGGGTTTTAATAATCTCGATTTAAGTTAACACATAAAAGTCTATGATAACCATGTTTTCAGATACTAATTACCACTGGGTCGTATTTTGATTTACATGTTTCATACTCATTTTACTCCTATTTTGTTATGCTAAATTGACTATGAATTTCTCCGTAACCTGATAAATACAACTGGCTAACGGCGGATGAGACCCGTCGACAGTGGTGCCTACTCCCCCTACGCACACCTGATCCCAACTCTGGTGTTTTCAGGGGTCTGTGTTTTTGCCCTATTCACGATTTCTATGGTTTACAGGATCTAAAGATTGATTACCATTCATCATTATTCATTATGTCCACCTTTGCTTTACATTTGTAATATAGTTGTTTACCATTTATCCACATCTGAAAAACCACAGGGTCTGATTGGGGATACCCTATATTATATTAAAAATGTTCATTTTAATAGAGTATGAGAACTTAAAAGATATAAGTAGTGTCAGAAAAACAAAAATGGTAAAAATAAACTATTCATCAAATAATTACTTTCTGAGATCTGTGTAGTACATTAAAGTAAAGGGTTTTAATTTCAAGCCAAGAATCTTTAAATGTGAAATCTGGTTTCAGATTACAAATACTCTTCAATCAAATAAAGATTTGGTTTTTATAATTCAATTTATATCGATACAAAATTGAATGTACATGTCCTGCTAAATAAAACACTACAGATGTACAGCATACATGGTAAAACTATAATTATCTATGCATGTAAGGTGTGTTAGCTATAGAAGAAATCAGTAAAAGTTAATGGACTTCTTATACCGAGTTTAAAATTACGAGTCAATTGTTTATAAATGAAACACGAAGATAACAAACAGTAATCAAGCTCAGAAGTCCATTAAACAATACAAATTGGGAGCAGAGCAAACACGGACCTCTAAAAGCATCAGAAGTGGGATCAGGTGCCATGGAAAAGTAAACATCCCCTGTAGACCGGACACTAACCTGATATACAATGGACAAAAATGAGACAATTAGTCTTAGAATGATCTTTTGTTCTGCAAATGTAATGTATTTCTGTTCGTCAAATTGTCAATAGCTATCTGTTTTTAGGGCTGCATGACCTTGTCTACATTTGTAATAACTGCATATAAATTAATTTTTCATTTGATCACCAATTCGAAATCTGAATTATTCATGTCAGTAACAATTAAATTCATTTCCTTTTAAAATATCAATTATCAAAGTTAATTGCAAAAGTGGCTTAAATTTTATCTGTCACCTTCAGTTTCATGCCTCAGCACCGTTTTGCTATTTTGGGTTTTGCACCGTTAGTGTTGCAGGCCATTCTTTTTTACAAAAATATGAGGAAGAATCTAGCACTCTCTGACCTTCTGTTAATTTTCATGACCTTGCAGAAATTCGGATGAAAAATTACTAAGCCCTATTCATGAAAAAAAAATTGTTTTTATGAAAGTCATATTCAATGTTTCATACTCTCTTCAGAGAATATTTACTCATATACATTTTGGTACATGTGAATATAAAATTGTCATAACATATGCACATGTACTTTATTTATAAACATGATAATAATTTCAGTAATTTATAAATATCTTTAAGAAAAATTTTCTTGACAAAAGAAATGACAAAATTTTCTTGATGGATTAAGATAGGTACAAAATTGTCGTAAATTATGTTTTGTTTTTACATTTTATATTTCAAGTACCGGTAATTGTACCAATTCTAGGACTCTTGTCTTCAGGTGTAGTAACTTTTTATGTATGTTCCCTAATGTCTCAAATTGTAGGTATTTTAGAAGGAAATGAACTTCAGCATATTTACACTATTTACAGTTGAACGTCGGTATCTCGAACACCATTATCCCTAATACCAGGAATATGTTGAAGTGATGACTCAACTATTTTAACATGGATATCTCGAATCCTCCAATATCTCGGTCCTATTGAGTTCGAGATAACTAGGTTTGACTGTATAAGTGAAATCAACATCGCAGACAATACAAACAGTGGATGATGTACAAGTTGTTTAGGATACAAAGTATAAATACAATATTTACATTGATGTGAAAAGCAGGTGTTTTATAAAAATAAATACAGAATTCATAGAATTAATCACTCAGCTGTCAATACTTCCATACGTTGTTATTTAAAGGTGTTATCATAACATGGATAACGCATACAGAAATAAACTTTTTACGGTAAAAGATTTGTGGGTCAGAGAAAATAAAAATTCACACAGATTTTGAAACATATATATACTTTATATGTATGGAGATGTTCCTTTGTCCCTAAAAGAATGTGTTAAATTATTTTATTTCAAAAAAAAAAAAAAAAAGATCCCAAATAAACGCTGATGTCTTAATAGAAGGTCAAATATTCTGGAAACAGTTTCTGTAAAAATCAACATAACATTTAATTCATGTTTTGACAAGTGTTATAAATTTTTACGATCCAAAATGTGTTTGTCTTTACTCTATTTATAAAATGTTTAAATTGTATTACAAAATTAATAACAATCTTTATCTGTCACTGAATTTAGATGTGGTTTACATGAAATATTAATTAATCAAAACATTTTAAGTCCAGCTTAAGTACTCTTAAATCATGAACTTACTTAATGATTTTTGAAATATTCTTTACATTAATACATTTGGTCTATATCGGATAGTTTTACAGAAAAAAAGATACATACATGTATGTACGACATGTACAAATAATATGAAACTCTATTACTGCAACTGTAGTTTTCATGGAAACTCTGTTAATATATGTATTTTTAAAATAAAACCTAAAACCATATCACACAGATTTACAAAAATTTAATGAGTATCTCATGATGCATTCTGACAAAAATGATAAAATGTATGTCTAAACATAGTAATGAACGCATACAAGAAGAATATTCATTATGTGATATATATTAATAGATGTACAATCTTGTTTTTTTTCCCCTATACACAAGGGTTTTATAAAACGTTAAAATAATTCCTAGAAAAATCTAACAAACTTAACAACTTTTAAATAAAGATGGTTTAAAGGTACATTTCACAACTGATATAGGTATGATCTTTTTTAAAAGTAAAAACCACATATCATTCCAAAACCTTTCGTCTGATTTATAAGGTACATATATGTACTAGCCTTATACCAGCGTAGAGATGATATTTGATTCATTTTGAGAGTAATATTAGGTTTTGCTCTTAGCTGAAATTAGTGGTGATTTAATTAGTATTTACCTGTTTTCTTTCTTAAATTAAAATCTACATTCTGATTAAATTTCCACTTATGAATTATGGAACCTAGCTTAGATGCTCTGTTATTGATAAATGTATCTATTCATAAAATCCAATAGAATCAAAATACACGGCCTACCTATATCATCTGATAGAACATGCAGCAATTGATCATGAATTACGTCTTAACGTATCGAAAAGATAAGAATTTTCCTAAGTCGGAGAATTACACAGTTTTCCAAAGTCAATGAATTGCAACAATAATTATTTATAATGATTATTTATAATTTAAAATATAACTATTTAGATTGATTTGGTTTCGAAAATATTCACTCCTAAATATTTTTAACTATTTTGCGTGATGAATCGTGCGTTTGCGTTAGC